GGTAATGGTGTGGGAAGCAGTGCTCCCGCGGTGTGAGAACATCTGCCTAGGGCATTATTAGAGAAGATATGGTGGGAATTTCCCAGAACCACTGCCTCTGGATTTCCCCATGGCTTGTCAGTTGCATAAAAAGCTGTAGTAAGTGCTTATATTTCACTATGCAGTTATACCTGATGCCAATGTATAATATTCTGTACTGATGTTCCAGCTGGGGAGTGTCCTACGTATACATCTATTCGACTCTGGAGAGAAAGCAAAAATGTTATAAAGGCAGGGATCCAATGCTGAGCAACACAGTGCTGTGTTATAGTTCTGTTTTAATAGGATAATCTTCAAAATCAAACAGAAAACTGATAGGCAGATGTAGGAGTAGCTCATTAACAACATGGATCTGTACACAGATCTTTCTCCAGAAATATATATATTGAAAGAATTATATATTGAGGATATAATACAGTACCACTGTGGAATCCCATGATCCTCAACAGCAGAAAAAAAAACCTTCCTGTCATTTCAGAGTAGAATCCTTGCTTTATCTCCACACATGTATAAGTCTTTTGAAGACTCATTTTCTCCTTATTTTTCTCCAGGTGCTAAAGAAACAGTCTTACAAATCATGGGCTGACTCTTCATCTGCTTGTGTTTATTATTTTCTTAAAGGGATGTTCTAATTCCATCCCCTCAGTTTCTTTCTTAGACTTACCTTGCCCTGAGGAGAACATTAGTGACTTAACCCAAGTCAAGTACTTATCTCTAGGAATCTCATAGTGTTGCACTCCTCAGGCACAGGGAAAGGAATTTCTGTAGCTCTCTGTTGTGGATTAAATGGTTGGACCCATTTCTGACATCAGCAAAAATGGGACATGCTCCTTTGTGTAGTTCTTTGGGATTGAGTTTTGGCTCAAGCAGTCCAAAATTTGGAAAGAGAAGCAGAACTTTTCCAGTTTTTTAATTATTGTTCAAAGGACCATAGCGTCTGCATGCTAAAGAATAATACTGAAGTCTGATTCCATCATCTATTAACTCTTTTTAAAGAGTGTGTGTATATGACCAAACTCTGGTTTGGTTGTTCCCAAAAGAGAACATACCTAGAGATGTATGCAATATGGCTGCAGACTAAATTCAGCCTTTTCCTGCTGAAACAGAGTATGTCTGCTTGTTGGTCTCATCAACTCTAGTCCACACAATGTCCTGTACTCTTTCTGCTGAGAACTATGTTGTGTTTTATTTACATTAACGTGTATGACAAAAGGTTAAGGATGTAGTGCAAAATATTATTTCCAAAATCATTTTAATTTTACTTTGAGTAGGTGTTTTTGCATATACTTACTGTGTTCAGATTTTGTATGTTGCCCCCAGCTATATAACAGAGTATTTTGCCACAAAATCTATCGTTGTTTGTACAGAACTGTGTCACGGGTCCTTGCATAAATCCAATCTGGTGCATGGTTCCTTTCCAGCCAAATGCTAACTGAGGGAAGGGAAAAGTGCAACGCTTTTTTTTTCTGTTACAAGAGCATTTTATGCAGGAAACTGTTGATAATAGCCTAGCCTCCCAAATCTGTATTCAAAGATTTCTGAAACAGTTCACCCTCCTACTATCCATTGAAGTGTTCTTTTCCCCATGGTGCACCACAGGTCATTCCTGCTCATTTTACTCTCTTCAGTCCTGGAGGAAACCATCCTTCAGTTTCTAATGTTTTAGCCTCAGTGCTGACTTATTTCTAAAGTCTGAGATTGTTATAGCTGTTATTGCAGTTCTGTTTTACTTTCTCCTGTATAAGGCCAGCAAAACACTAGTTAACAGCAATGATGAGAGAATTTCATACTTCGCTGGACCTGCTGCAAACCCCAGTTTTCTCTTCACCCGTGTTTCCCCCACCCCAGAGTTTCAGAAGAGAATTTTCAAAAGCACACAGTTTACTCAAGCTCAGTATCAGCTTCTTGTCCCTTTGAAAGCTCTTCATCTAGACTGTGCAGCCTGGACCCTGAGATGATAAGCTAGGCCTTGTGCCTTGTGGGGGGAAGAAAGACATACCCTGAGCACTGCTGCAGGAAGTTTTGTTATCTTCATCAAAGGGCCTATAGCATATGTGCAAGTGGTTACTGGGCCCAGAGCAAAGAATACTTTCACTCTTTTAGCCAGCTCGGGGTATGTAGAAAATGCTATGAAGCCTGCAAACATAGAAGAGCCAATCTGAGTTAGTGAAAACATCTTCAACAGACAAAAATAAACAAGTAGAAGTAGGCAGCAAACAAGAAGTGAGACAAGATTTGTAGACCATTGCCTGTTGTCCATGAATATCTGTGCTGCATCTTCTAGCTAAGGCAAGCATTAATGCTAAATCCTGCAATTAATTTTATTTGGGAGGCAGAGTTCATCCTGAACTTGACAGAAAGTCTAAACTTTGCCTTTATCAGAACAGTTTTTACAGGTGACATGGCAGAGAGTTTTAGGTGACAAGATCAGATTCCCTCTAATGTTCACAAAACTCCCTATAAAAAGAAATAAAAATTTCAGATTGTAGCCTTTAAATGACTGTAGGTGTTTATACGTCCATGGAACAGTAGAATAATAAGCTGAATACTGGAACTTTGAGTATTTTCAACTGATTGTTTACACC